AAATATACATGAACTATAAATTTTGATGTATATGACCAGTATGCCCACAAAGGAGAAGAAATTGTTGTAAATGCATGTATTATTTCTAGAAGGACTCAAAAACAGTGCTAGTAACAGTTGTCTTTGAGATATAGAAGTAGGGATCCCGTATGTGAAAGGGAATTACTTTTTCATTGCACATGATTTATATTATTGATATTCTAAAATGCCCAAAGTATTATTTCAATTAGTGTCTTTAAAATACATTAACTCATTTGAGGAGCTCTGGCAGCACATTGGCTAACACATCTGACTGCTAACCAGAAGGTTGGTGGTTCAAACCCACAAGCCACTCCATGGAAGCAAGATTGGGCAATCTACTTCTGTAAAGATTTACCACCATGGAAGCCCAATGGAAGTCACTATGGATCAGAATCAACTCAATGTCAGTGGGATGGGTTATACCTCAATTGAGGCTGACTGCATATATAGCACTCCCCTCGAAAAACAACTTCAACAACTCTAGCTAGCAAGACTACATCCATGGAGGGTCTCCAATTACATTATACACTCTTGATCTTGGTTAGATCTAGATACTCGCTCCTCTAGTAGGAGCAAATGCCTTGAGTTTTTCAATGTGGGATTGGGGGAAAATTCATTTAGAAGTTATGCCCTTTCTAGAAAAGGAAATATACTTGGCATGTTTGTAAAGAGTGATGGCATGGATGGTGAATTAGAGGTTGGAAACACATCATCATAAGTTACTTTGTTAGAACAGAGCAGATGTTGAGTGGTGATTAGAGCAGGCATAAAGGTGGCAGGGAGCTTCTAGGAAAGGTGCCATAATTACTGATTTTAATTGGATGCAAAAAGCAATTATGTGTTGCTATATGGTGGAAAAGGAGTATTGCCATATAAACTCAGGAAGTGGCATCAGATTCTCCTGAACATCTGTCAGTTTTAATGTAATGATTTGAGGAAAGAGATACAGTTTTGAAGCCATTTATGGAATTTAACAGTATCGCTGGTCAGTATAAGAAAAAAAAAAAATGCACCTTTTTTTGTGTGTGATTTTGGTGAAAATTTACAGAGCAAATTCATTTTCCATAAAGCAGTTCATACACCAAATATTTTTTAATTGCTATTGCTGTAGAGTCAATTCCAACTGATAGAGAAACTATAGAATAGAGTAGAACTGCCCTTATGGGGTGTATCATCAAGGACCTAGCAACCTAAAGTGAAGTACAGCTTCATGCAAGTATTTGAGTGAGTCTTTTGGGGTTCATTCATCCCCTTAACAATTATAAATTTTTAATGCTACAAACCAAAATTGTTATCCAGAAAGCCTTAAGAAAGTCATTGAAAGAATTTAATTACTTCCATTATTTCAGTAAGTACTTACGTGTGTGTCTGTGTGTGTCTGTGTGTGAGACCGAGAGAGAGAGAGAGAGAGAGAGAGAGAGAGAGTTAGTTTATGTGGTATGTTTGCAAACAAGTAAGTAACTTATTCCAGAAAGAATTTAAAGCAAACTTCCTATCATACTGATTAGTATATCCAAAGAAATGGATAAATCTGGTACTGCCTTGTTGGTGCAGTGACTAGTCACTTGGCTAATAATGGAAAGGAGTGCACTCAGAGAAAGATGTGGTAAAATGTGACAATCTGCTCCCATAAAATAAGGCAATCTGCTTCCATAAAGATTTACGGCCTTGGAAACCCTATAGGACAGTTCTACTCTGTCCTATAGGGTCTCTATGAGTCAGAATTAATTCCATGGCTTTTTTTTTTTTTTTGGTACCTTGTGGGAGCAGAGTAATATATTTAATAATGTGACAATGGTGAGTTTGAGTTTTGCAAGTTTCAAATTCTCCCTCTCTAGGTGATACTCTGGTGTTTTAATATTAAAATTAAATTGAGCTTTCAGAGCAACTACAGTGTTATAGCTGTGATCTATTTACCAGAAGTGACAGGCAAATGGTAGTTGTTTATTATCTTTCCCTTCCCTCATGCAAATACCATTCATATATACAGAGATAAGGAATTACTTAGGATAGGACATTGTAGCATTATGGGTCTCTTTTGGATGCAGAATAAGAGGATGAAGTTACATTGAGCTTTTCTCAGGCTCATCTTTATTCCATTGATCAAAGAAGAGACTTTTATTATTCTGCCTGTTATTTTGTTATTTGGGATCCTGTGCAAGGATGGAGGATAGTCTCAGACAAATACTCTAAATTGTAAGATGCAGTACCTTCCTTAAGTTGGTCTGATAAATTCTTTATTTCATAGTCACTTTGTATTTGTGCAAGCAGTTAACTCACATAACTGCTAACCAGAAGTTTGGAGGTACAAGTCTACCCTGAGGCACCTTAGGAAAAAGGCTTGGACATCTCCTTTGGGGGAAAAAAAAAAAAAGTCGTTGAATACCCTACGGAACAGATCTACTCTGAAACAAAAGGGATCATCATGAGTTGGAATTAATTCAATGGCAGCTTTTTTTTTTTTTCTTTTACTAATAGATAATTTGAATCCCAGTCCCTAGTAGAAAATTGAAGATATGGTTTATTCTTTCACTAAAAATTTGGGGAATGCCCCTGGCAATGAGTAAAAACAGCTGGGTGATGCTTTCTTCACTCTTCCCAGCACATAAATGAAACAGCTGGTGAAACGAGATGGCTTTAGAGACAAGACAATCTGGAAATGTGAAATGAAGATAATGCCATAGGAACATATAGAGTTAAAATATGTATAAAATACCCTGTAGCAAATGCTACCCAGATGATTGTCAAGTGGTGGTATTAGCTGCCATCAACTCCATTCCGACTCATAGAGACCCTGTGTACAACAGAACGAATAACTACCTGGTCCTGTGCCATCCTCATGATTGCTGCTTTGCTTAAGCCCTTCATTACAGCCAATATGTCAACACATCTTGTTGAGGATCTTCTTCCTTTTCACTGACCATCTATTTTACCAAGCATGATATCCTTTTCCAGGGACAGGTCTCTCTTTACAATGTGACCAAAATTTGAGAGGCAAAATCTCTCCACCCTCACATCTAAGGAGCATTCTGGCTGTGTTTCATCTAAGACAGAATTGTTAATATTTTTCCAGCATCATAATACAAATGCTTCAGGTCTCTGGTTTTCCTTATTCATTGTGCAGCTTTCACATGCATTATGAGGCTACTCAAAACACTATGGCTTGAGTCAGGCACACTCTAGTTTTTGAAGTGACAAGTTTTCTCTTTAACACTTTAAAGAGGTTTTTGCAGTGGACTTGCCCAATGCAATATGCCCTTTGATTTCTTGACTCCTGTTTCCAAGGGCACTGATTACAGATCCAAGTAAACTGAAATCCTTGACAAGTTCAAACATTTCTCCATTTATCATGATGTTGCTTATTGGTCCAGATGTGAAGATTTGTGTTTTCTTTATGTTGAGGTGTAACTCATACCAAAGGCTGTCGTCTTTGATCTTCAAAGTAAGTGTTTCGAGTCCTCTTCACTATCAGCAATCAGAGTTTTGTCATCTGCATATCTCAGGTTGTAACTGGTGCCTTCCTCCAATTCTAACGCTATAGTTTTCTTCATAGAGTCCACTTTCTTGGATTATTTGCTCAGCATATAGATTGAATAAATATGGTGAAAGGATATAACTCTGACACAAAGCTTTCCTGATTTTAAACCACACAGTATCTCCTTGTTCTGTTCAAATGACTGAGTCATGGTGTATATACAGGCTCCTCGTGAGCACAATTAATTGCTCTAGAAATCCCAACACGTGGTCCTTAATCACAATAATGATGAACAGTACGAGGAAGAAGAATATTTTAAATGTTTGCTGGAATTAGAGGAGGCCTTACAGCAACGGCTACACAATATTATCTGGAATTTTTAGAGGGCTTTCCTGATGCATAGCAAAAGAGGAGAAATTCTGGACTCAAGATATAAATGAAGGCACAGAGATATGTAATTGGGACATATGTTCTTGAGGTGGCCTATAATCAAGGTCCTTTCAGATTAAAGGATCTGGAGAGATAGCAGGTGATGGAGCTGGAAAGGTGATTGATGCCAGAGTGTAAGTGCCTTCAAATGACATGGAAAGGCACTTAGATTTGATTTCTAAGGCCATACAGACTTTTGAATATTTTTCATCTTGTCTGTGATCCCTCAAGCTCCAATCAGCATTTTAGAAAACTAGTCACAATTATAGTAGACCATGTAAGAAATAACAGATTTAGGGAGTGACAGAAGAAATGAAGAGGCAAGAGCAAACAGAGTGAAAGAGTTTGAATTTGTTCAGATTGTTGACTAGTTTCATGTACAGTTAGGAAAAGAGCTAGATATAATCTTCTTTGATTAGAATTTAAGAAACAGCATTTAGACATGCATAAAATAGAATTGGGATGAATTATGATAAATTACAACTTAATATAATCTAGAATTTGTAGTTTTCATATTAAATTTCCTTATGCAATGGTAAATATACTTACCACAAAAAAACTTATTTTAGATGAAATGAGTGATAAAATATATATGATTGTATGTGAAGTTACTAAAACCATGAAAACAATTTGAAATTCTGTCACAATATGTTAAGTAATATTGAAGTAATATCCATTAATTACTTAACAATGAAAATGTTATTTGAATTTTGTGTCTTTTATGTATATATTGTTGTGTCACACTTAACCCATATAGCATGTTGTTTTCTAATATCTGAAAAATGACTATTTACTTAAAAAAAAAGACTATTTTCTCATAGATTACATTCAGGCAGAATGCAGAGAGCCTGGTTTTAAGTTTAAATAACATAATTCTGACACTGTATACAAATGTTTATATAGATTAATGCACCCTGTCATTAACCCAGTTAAGACTACAAATATTTCAGGGTTGCAAAGGTAATCATGAACTTGTACCTTTGAGAAACAAGTGAAGTATGTAAGAATTTTATTTGTTAAGGGTATGAGTAGTCCTTTATGATAGTAAAGTAATTATGTTTTATCATATTGACAGGTGCATCTTTTGAGAAATGCTGGCGATGAAGTTACCATCACTGTTCAGTATCTCAGGGAAGCTCCGTCATTTCTGAAGCTCCCATTAGGTAAGAGGAAAGGGAAGAAATTCAAAAGGATCATAGAATTTGCTTCCTTGTCACATAATTTGTCCAAATCATGTGGTACTGACAGGAGTATAAATCTTTTCCTGAGTATATATTCAAGCAGAGGAAAGATATAGATAGAAACTTACTATTACATGTTCCTAAAGTATCCTACAGGGAGCTCTGGTAGCATAGTGTCTAAGGCACTTGACTGCTAACCAGAAGGCTGGTGGTTCAAACCCATCAGCCACTCCTCAGAAGGAAGATGGGGCAATCTACTTCCATAGTGATACTGCCTCAAAAACCCAAGGAGGGGTTGCTATGAGTCGGGTCCTACTCAGTGGCACATAACAACAACAACAACTTGTGTTGAAATTTTTCAGAGCAAATTCACTTTCCATACAACAGCTCACATACACCTTGTCTCATGAATTGACTGCAATTTCCCACAATGCAACAGCTCCCCTCATACTTCCTCCCCATATTTACCTCTTCCATGTGTCCTTCCCTCCATGCACCCCTGCCCCCTGAGCTGTCTCCCTGTGCATACACAGCTCTTCTATTCTCCCATGATTGTTCTCTCCAAGAAGTGTATCTACCTAATGTAAATGTTGAACTCATTTGCCTGTCTTTTGCTTGGCTGGAAGCCACAGGAGTAAGTTCAGTTCCAGACCTAAGGGGCAAGTAGGGGCCACACTCATCAGGCTCTATCAGACCAGCAAAACTGGTTCCCCCACTTTTTAAAATGATTTTGAGTTTTTTTCCACATTTTTCTCCCCCTCTATCCAGAATCTCATGCATAGATCCCCCTCCAAGTGATTGACAGTAGTAGCCAGGCACCATCTAGTTTGTCTGGTCTCATAGTTGTATAGGCTGTGGAATGCATGGTGTACCAGTCCTTTGTCATTACTTGACAAAGTAGGATGTGGAACAGTGTTTTGTGTAGTATGTTTTGCCATTTGAGCTTGATGCCTCCTGCAACTATGGTCCTGAGCCCACAGGTCCTATTACTCACTACCTCTGGTTAGCTGGCTGTGGCCAAGAAGAGACTACAACCTTGTCCCTTCTCAGCTCTATTATATATCTGGTAATTCTTACAGAACATAAAAATACATTTGTAGAAATATTGTCTGCCAACCCTGTACATGATCTTGGGCACACTCTCCCCTGCATGGATATATCTAATAATTCAGCCTGTCCACCCATCTATCCAGCCATATATCCATGTTTGCCTACATTGACAATGCAGTACTATATGTGAAAGGGTTCATCTTTGTTGTCTGTACTTTGCTTGCACCTCTCTATGTCTTCCTCTCCCTCAATGCCACCATGTTGATCACTCACATTTGGTACATTGCCCTTCTCTTAACCCAATTTGATACTTGTCTCTACCTATCTAACACTGTTCCCTCCCCTGCTCTACCACCCTTCATAACCAACAAAGAAAATTTCCTTCCATAGATAAACCTTTCCTTGAATTTTTACAATAATGGACTAATACAATATCTATCCTTCTGTGATTGATTTATTTCACTCAGCATAATGTCCTCCAAGTTCATCCAAGTAATGTGGTGTTTTGCACGTTCTATATTATTTTTGTAGGTTTGCATAGTATTCCATTGTGTGCATGTACCATACTTTGGTTATCCATCCTTCTGTTGATGGACATCTAAGTTTTTTCCATCTTTTGGCTATTATAAATAGCAATATATCTGTTCTTGTCCTGGCTCTCAATTCTTTAAGATATATACCTAGTAATGGAATGGCTGGGTCAAATGGTATTTCTAATTCTATCTTTTTAAGGAAGAGTCACACTGCTCTCCACAGTGGTTGTATCATTTTACAGTCCCACCAGCAGTGTATGAGTCCCAATCTCTCTGCATCCTTGCCAGCACACTTGTTATTTTCTGTCTTGTTGAATTTTCCTACTAGTGCAGGGGCAAGATGATATCTTGTTGTTTTCATTTTCATCTCTCTAATGGCTAATGATCGTGAGCATTTCTGCATGTGTTTGATGGCCGCCTGAATATCTTCTTTGGTGAAGTTTCTATTCATGTCTTCTGCACATTTTTTAATGGGATTATTTTTCTTTTTGTTGTTGAAGTGTAGAGTTTCTATAAATTCTAGAGATAAGTCCCTTGTCAGATATGTAATTGCTAAATATTTTTTTTCCCAATCTGTAGGTTCCTTTTTGACTGTTGTGGAGAAGTCTTTAGAAGCATATAAAACTTTTAATTTTTAGAAAGTCCCATTCATCTAGTTTATGTATTTTGGGGCTCTTTCATTGAGTCCATAGATATTTATTTTGATTATATCTTCTTGTTCAAGTAATCCTTTGATCATTATATAATGTCCTTCCTTGTCTCATATAGTAGTTTTTGTCTTAAAGTCAATTTCATCAGAAATGCTCTTTTTTTGTTGCCGTTTGCTTGATATATCTTTTTCCAACCTTTGATTTTTAGTCTGTTTTTTTTCTTTGTCTCTAAGGTGTGTCTCTTGTAGATAGCATACTGATAGGTTAGGTATTTTATCCTGTCTTCAACTCTTCATCTCTCGAGTGGTGCATTTAATCCATTGATATACAGTGTAATTATCCTTTTGTTTTGTTTTTTCATGGTTTTTGTAGTTTCTGTGTTCCATATAATTTTTGTGATGATCTCATGATGTTTATGTAATCATTTCCTTTGTTGCTTTTGTTTTTAGTATTTTCTAAATATTTGTGCTTGTCTTCTGTTTTATTGTGATGTGAAGGTTTATCATTTTCCTTTGAGGTTACCCTGTGATTTATAATTTTCTCCCCAAGTATAGTACAGTCCATTCTGTCTTGCAATTCTCTTAAGTTCCTCACCCTTTAGAAGTTCTGTAACTGCACTATTTTTTCCCTCTTTTTTGTTTGTAGTTGTTTTTATTTGCCAGTTGGAGTCTCTAGGGCCCTGTTTACAGTCTTGTAACCTTATTTAACTTTGGATACTTCTATAGCTATGGTGGTTTCTGGGTTATATAATCTTGTGTATTAATGGTCTGTTGTTGTTTGCGATTAGTGGTTCTCTGTTCAAAGGACTCTCTTTGGTATCTCTTGTAATGTTTGTCTGATTTTAACAAATTTCTGTTTATCTGAAAATCTCTTTAATTCACCATCAAATTTGAGGGACACTTTTGCCAGGTATATAATTCTTGATTGAAAATTTTTCTCTTTCAGGGTTTTATATATCCTATCCCATTGATTTCTTGGTTACATGATTTCTGCTGAGGAATCAGAACTTATTGTTATTGGTTATCCTTTGTAAGTAACTTTTTTTTTTTTTTTTTTTGTTTTTGTTTTTGTTTTTGTTTTTACCATGCTGCTTTCACGATTCTTTCTTTGTGTTTGGTTTTGATGAGTTTGATGATGATATGTCTTAATCGTTTTCTTTTGGAGTCTATCCTGTTTAGGGTTCATTGCACTTCTGAATTTATATATTTTCACCTTTCATCATATCAGTGATGTTCTCTTCTAACAAATATTGGACAATTTTCTCAGTGGTTTTCTTTTTCTCTTCCTGTTCTGGAGTTCCAATTACGTGTAAGTTGTTCCTTTTGATGGTATCCCACATGGGCCTTAGGCTTTCTTCATTTTGTTTTGATCTTTTTTCTGATTGATCCCATTCCAAAGAAGTATTCAGGTATTTGTCTTCAATCTCATTAATTCTGTCTTCCACTGATTCATTTCTACTCCTTTGCTCTTTGAATGTGTTAAGTATTTCTGATTATTTCATATTAATCTTCTGGAATTTGATCTTTAGATTTTGTATCATTTCTGATTTTTTATTTATTTTGTTATTTTGTTCTTGTATTTTCTTCCAAAATTGTTCTAGGGTTTTGTCTGTGTTTTCTTTAATTTTATCAGTGTTTTCCTTAATGTGTCTCTCAATCCTTTGAAGATAACTAAATATAATTCTTTTGAGCTCCTTGTAAGGAAGTTCCAATGCTGCTTTTTCCTCAGGGATGTGTTCTAGGTTTGTATTCTTCTCCTTTGTCTTTACCACTTTATCTTGCTTCTTTGTTTGGACTGTGATAGTCTGTTGTCTCTGAGACATTGTGACGTTGTTGTTTTTAGATATTGTTAACTGTTTGTGAAGAGCAGCTAAAGGTGAGTCAGCCTCTCCTTGGTGGTTGTTTATCATTGGCCTGTTGATGGAGAATAAAGTGGTGGCTCTCACTCAGTAAGTGGAACAGGAGTAGGTATGGGTGTAGTTGTGTCCTGTGGGCAATGTTGCTGTCTCCCACTCAATTAGACAAAAACAACAATTGAAAAATAATCAAAAAAATGAAAAAAAGAAACAAAAAAATACACCACATAAACACACAGGAACTCACCAAAAATAAATAAATAAATAAATAAAATAATAAAATAAAAAAAAAATGGGGGTGAATAAATGAATAAGTGAAAAAGTCAATAAGTGAAAAAAGGTAAAGTAGAATAATTAAGAAAAAATGGGAAAAATTAAAACAAAGAAAACAAACAATTCTACTAATTTTTCCTCTGTTATTAATTGCTTCCTTCCTTTACTGATATATATGACCCCAGGTACAATTCTTTGTTACTGAGATTTCTGAGGACCAAATCAGTTGGTGAATCATGATCTTTGATTAGAGCTTACATCTGAAAAATAAGATAAAATAGAATGGGGGGCATTGAACTCATGGTTCCATTCCACTTTCACCTTATTGAGTAACCCAAGGAAAATCAATTTCATTAACATCATTTTTTCAAACCACAACAGAATAGCTATATTATTCATTATTCTTAGAAAAAATGATATTATTCTCATTGGTCTAAAAATGCATCATAAAGATACAACACATGTCCTACCTTTTAAAAAGACAAATTATCTCTAATAAACAGAACAATAGTACTGGTTAGTAGAGAGTATCCAAAGGAGTTTAGGATAAAGAGAGTAAGAAATGCTACAGTATTTTATATACACACACACAAAAAAAAAATGCAGTACTAGAATGTGGAA